AGAGCCTGACGTGGGGCTCGAACCCACGAACCGTGAGATCGTGAACTGAGCTGAAGTCGGGCGCTTCACCGACTGAGCCACCCGGGTGCCCCATGGATGTAAATTTTGAAAATTAAAAAAATAAAATAAAAAAAAAAAAGGAAACTAAAACCAAAGCACACCAAGCCAGTCTTTGATTGAATTTTAATATTTAATCAGTGAATTTATTAGAAAGCATGTTTTTCTAAATACTTACACAGGAATCCGTTTTAAAAAGACACTAGTGGTTTTTTGTTTTTTGTTTTTTTTTTCAAAGGATTGCTGTATTTGCATTACAGCAGCTTAAATAAGGGCAACTCAGCTGTCTGGATCCCGAACGTTTGCTGTGGTGAATTCATGTACAAAATGTTGATCCTGAATTCAGTGGGAGATTTGACCGTTATCCAGAAAAGTCACGAAGTTCATCTCCATATTTTGATGACTGCGGTCAATGACAGAATTACAGATTGCTTGGTATCATCGAATTGATTACATTACATTTCTCAAGTTGTATCTTTATCTGCAAAAAATCTGGAACCCCCCTGAGATTATTGCCTAAATATGTTGAAAGATGTTAGCGTCTCCTTCAGAATCAGCCCAGTCCTCCACCCCCATCCCTTGTGACTTTTCTGTATGAAAGCCAGAGTGAGGAAACTTCCAGAGGCATAGTTGAGTCCTTGTCCCACTGCGGAAGTATGGAAATTCCTTCCTGAGGAAACTCCGTCCTATAGGCTTGATGTTCTTTAAGTACAAATACGCTTTGTAGAAAAGTCTGTCTTACGTTTCCTGAAAGGGGTTACTTTTCCACTTACGGTTCCCTGGGCTTTCACCGTGACTTTGCTGGATGCACATCTGATATCTGTTCCCGCATCATTTCTAAAGGTGTGTTTTCAAAACTGTTTAAAAACCAACCGTGTGTTAGCTTTTCATTTTCTTGTAGCTGCAGTAGATCTCTCTAGCTGAAGTAGATTTTGAAACCCAGCGGTAATAATAACACGGTGTCAGGAAAATTACTCATCCTACGTTTCCTTCGGGATGATTCCATGAAAGGGAAGCGCGAGATTCGTTCTGTCATTGGCCGCGGTGTGCTTGGGCCCAGCCCGTCACACGGCACTCACTGCATGGGGGCTTCCTTGCTCGTGTGCCATATGCGGCCTGATTTGTATAAGACGTCAAGATGTTTAAAACGAACAGTAGCTCTGGGGCGCCTGGGTGGCACATTTGGTTAAGCGTCCCGACTCTCGACCTTGGCTCAGGTCATGATCTCACGGTTTCGTGAGTTCAGGCCCCACGTCGGGCTGTGCGCTGACAGCATGAAGCCTGCTTGGGATTCTCTCTCCTCCTCTGTCTCTCTCTCTGCCCCTCCCCTGCTCATGCACACTCTCTCCCTC